GGGAGGAGGGGAAGGAGGGGGAACTGTGGTTGGTATTTAAATTTTAAAAAATTAAAAAGGAATAGCTTTCCCAGTCCTTTTCTTATGACTAATGAAAGCAGCATTTGAAATGAATACAAGAGTATAAGGCAAATTAATAACTTGAAGAAAGGGTGTGGGACAGAAGATGACATCCAAGCATATAACATATAACCGAATGCCTATAGCCAGAGGGAAACAGTTTGAAGTGAGGATATTCAGAAACATCCATGTACAGAGAATCTAGAAAGCCAATATGGCCAGGACTAGACATATACAAGTCTAATCTCTTACCTCAGGCTAGCTCACAGAATCAGTACAAGTATAGCTGAATGTTATAGTAGCATCCTAGTGCAGAAGCAATCAGTAAAACTACCAGAGGTGGTTTGGTTTTGGTTTGTTGCCTTCTTGGTTTGTTGTTGTTGTTGTTGTCATTGTTTTTATTGTTTTCTTAATGTTCAAGAAACTAGTATCTGGTCCAAAGGCATAAACAGGATAAAAGTGAAAGGATGAAAAAAACATGTTCCATGGAAGTAGATAACCTAAAAGATAACTGAGATGGCTATATTGAATACCAGACAAAAGAGACTTTAAGTCAAATACTTCCAAAGAGACAAATATATTGAAAAATGGTCAATTAATTATGAAGATAAAAATACATCTAAGCATATATAAAACAAACACTGTATCCCCAAATATATAAAGCAAAATAGTTGAACAAGTGTCCTTATGGTATGATTGATCGCTGGGTCTTGAGGTAGATTGATTACCAATTTTCTGAGAAACCTCCATACTGATTTCCAAAGTGACTGTACAAGTTTGCACTCCCACCAGCAGTGGAGGAATGTTCCCCTTACACCACATCTTCTCCAACATAAGGTGTCATTAGTGTTTTCGATCTTAACCATTCTAACAGGTGTAAGATGGTATCTCAAAGTCATTTTGATTTGCATTTCCCTGATGACTAAGAATGTTGAGCAATTCCTTAAGTGTCTTTTGGCCATTTGAGATTCTCCTTTTAAGAATTCTCTGTTTAGATCTGCACCTAATTTTTTTATTGGGTTATTTGGTATATTGATGTCTAGTTTCTTGAGTTCTTTATATATTCTGGAGATCAGCCCTCTGTCAAATGTGGGGTTGGTGAAGATGTTTTCCCATTCTGTAGGCTGCTGTTTTTGTAAGAAAATTTGTTGCAACTCTGTGGCTTTGGTCCCAGGTTTCAGCACCAAAATGTGAGTTTTGCAACTCTGGGAAAAGGTGTCCTGATTACCTGAGGAGTCAGAGAACACCTTGAGTCTGAAGGCTGGAACTGCAAAGACAGCTCAGCCCTGGAGGGCAAGGTATCCTGGACACCTCAAACCACTCAGAACAGCTCTGCCCTGGAGGTTTCCCAGACACCTGGAGCTGTTTAGCACAGCTCTGATGGCTGGAACTACAAGGAGACAGTTCAGCCCTGGAAGAGAAGTTTTTCTGACTGCTCAGGAGAGTCATGCCTGGAACTGCTTCATCAGGAAAGGGTATCCTGACAATTTAGGAATGGAACTGCTTCAGCAGGGAAAGGTATCCTGACTGTTAGGGAAAGTCAGGCAATACCTGGTATGATGGGGGATGGTTTCACTGCAAGATATAGCAATCCTGCTCCTCTCCTGGAGTGCCGCTAGAGCTGAGGTTGCTCAGCCCCCACATAAGGGGGCTTCCTAGCAGAGCTCTGCTTCTCCAGCCTGAGAAATTGCAAAAATGTAGCAATCTCCTCCGGCTCAGGAGAAAAGTGTTACTTTTTCAGCTCTCTCTTGCTCTGTCCACTGAGGGACGTCTCAGCAAGGTTCTTCTGTTCAGCTCCCCCTTGCTCAGTCCACTATGAGACAACTCAGCAAGGTTCTTCTGTGTGCCAGTGAATGAAGGTCTTCACAACCAAAACTTTTGAGAGATTTATTTGAGAAGGAGGAGTCCATGAGAGTAGCTGCCTCAACCAGGGTGGAGAGAACAGCTCTCAACTGACCAGGCAGGGTGGTTTATATAGGATGTCTTGGGGGTGGAGTCAACCAGTGATTGGTTAGTTTTTTTCTGCCCAGGGATTGGCCAGTTTTGTGGACTAGGGACAGAGGTGGCCCTGATTTCAGGGCCAAACTGTGTTTCTTTCACTGGCCTTATTTAGCTTTTTGACACTACCTCTAAGACCAGGGTACATTTCTTTTTTTATGTATAAAGAAGTGGATTTATTAGAATGTCTCACAAACTGTGGTTAAGGCACACCATTGGAAATTTGAAGAATTCAGTAGCTCTTTCGTTCATGAAGCTGTATATCTCTGCTTGTCTTCAGTATATACCACACGTCTAAGTAGGCTCTAATGCTGGTAAAGGAATGAACTTGGTAGCCAGACCTAGGGCAAGCAGGCAAAGGGAAAGCTTTCTCCTTCAGTGTCCTTTATATATGTAGGCTGCCACCAGAAGTTATTATGTTCAGGATTAAAGGTGGAGCTTGTACTTTGTTTGATTTTTTTTATGTTTTTGAAACTTGATTTATCTATGTAGCCCTGGAACTCATTCTGTAGACCAGGCTGGGCTCAAAGTCAGAAACCCCAAGTGATTCTACCTCCTCAGTGCTGGGCTTAATTGTGTGCACAGACACTAAGCAGCTAAAGGTGGATATCACATCAAATGATCTAGATTAAAGATGGGTCTTTAATTTCAAAACCTTTCAAAAATCCCTCACAGATGTACTGAACTATTTTGGTTTTAGTTAATTGTAGAGGTAGTCAGTTTGACTACCAAAAATAGCCATCACAATATCCAAGACAGAAGAAAGGAGAAAAATTTCCTACCTGCAGGAGGATGGTAGAGTATGGAATGTTTTTCCAATGCTTTTTCTAAGCAAAGGAAGCATGTAGATTTTACATAGGGAATCTGGACATAGTCATATAGAGTTCTCCATATTCCTAAGCAGGTTAGGTTAACCAATCCATTTCTGAACATGATCACAATTTAACAGTGGAGACACTTAGAGGAATTTATACATAAAATCATGCAGAGCCATATATAAATTATAAAAAATGATGGAAAAGAATGCCTCTGGGTTATTTATATTGTACCATAAGGCAGGGCACATTTCTTTCACTGACTCTGATTCTGGGAACCAAGAGTGTTATTTTGGCACTAGTTTCAGAGTCAGGGCATGTTTCCTGGGTTCTGGGTTTGGGAATAAAGTGTTCATTTCTATGGCTCAGGTCCCAAACCCAGGCTGTGTTTCTTTCCCTGGTCCTGGGCCCCAGGGCCAGGATTCTACTGTCCTGCTCTGTGATTGGTTGGTTTCACAAGTCAGTTGGCCAGGAGCAGAGATGGCTCTGATTTGAGCCAAACTGTTTCTTTCACTGGCCTTATCTGAGCCATCTTTTCCAAGTTCTGGGCTCCAGGGTCAGGGTGGGTTTCTTTAGCCAGCCTCTTTTCCCTACAGTTTTGTCTTCTTGACCATGTCCTTTGACTTACAGAAGTTTCTCCGTTTCAGATGGTCCCATTTGTTAATTGTTGTTCTCAGTGTCTGTGCTACTGGTGCTGTATTTAGGAAGTGGTCTCCTGTGCTAATGCATTCAAGGCTACTTTCCCACTTTCTCTTCTATCAGGTTCAGTGTAACTGGATTTATGTTGAGTCTTTGATCCACTTGGACTTGAGTTTTATGTATGGCAATAGATAGGGATCTGTTTGCATTCTTCTACTTGTCAACATCCACTTATACAAAGGGTAATGTTTCTCTGATTTCTTTCTTAGCCTACTCATCTAATTTGTATATAGGAGGACTACTGATTTTTTTTTTGAGTCAATCTTGTATCCTGCCACATTACTGAAGGTGTATATCAGCAGTAGGAGTTCCCTGGTAGAATTTTTGGGGTCACTTAATGTATACTATCATATCATCTGCAAAAAGCAAAAGTTTGACATCTTCCTTTCTGATTTGTATCCCCTTGGTCTCCTATAGTTATCTTACTGCTCTAGCTAGAACTTTGAGTACTGTATTGAGTAAATATGGAGAGAGTGGACAGCCTTGTCTTGTTCCTGATTTTAGTGAAATAGCTTTTGAGTTTCTCTGCATTTAGTTTGATGTTGGATGTCAGCTTGCTATATGTTGCTTTTATTATATTTAGGTATGTTCCTTGTATGCCTGGTCTCTCCAAGACTTTTATCATGAAGGGGTGTTGGATTTTGTCAAAGGCTTTTTCAGCATCTAATGAGATGATCATGTGGCTTTTTTTTTCTTTCAGGTTGTTTATATGGTGGATTACATTGACAGATTTTTGTATGTTGAACCATCCCTGCATCTCTGGGATGAAGCCTACTTGATCATGGTGGATGATTTTTTAAGGTGTTCTTGGATTCGATTTGCTAGTATTTTATTGAGTATTTTTGCATCAATGTTCATGAGGGAGATTGGTCTGTAATTCTCTTTCTTAGTTGCATCTTTGTGTGGTTTGGATATCAGGATAACTATAGTCTCATAAAAAGTTTGGAAATGTTCCTTCTGTTTCTATTGTGTGAAACAATTTAAGGAGTGTTGGTATTAGCTCTTCCTTGAAATTCTGGTAGACTTCAGTGCTGGAACCATCTGGCCTGGGGCTTTTTTTGGTTGGAAGTATTTTAATGACTACTTTTGCTTCCTTAGGGGTTATAGGTTTATTTAAGTTATTTATCTGGTCTTGATTTAATTTTGATATGTGGTACCTATCCAGAAAATTGTCCATTTCTTTTAGATTTTCCAATTTTGTGGAGTACAGGTTTTTGAAGTATGACCTGATGGTTCTGTGGGTTGCCTCAGTGTCTGTTGTTATGTTCCCCTTTTCATTTTTGATTTTATTAATTTGGATATTCCCTCTCTGCCTTTTGGTTAGTTTGGATAAGGATTTGTCTATCTTGTTGATTTTGTCAAAGAACCAACTGTTTGTTTCATTGATTCTTTGTATTGTTCTCTTTGTTTCTATTTTATTGATTTCAGCCCTCAATTTGATTATTTCCTGGTATCAATTCCTCCTGGGTGAGTTTACTTCTTTTTGTTCTAGAACTTTCAAGTGTACTGTTAAGTCATTACTGTGAAATTTCTCCAAATTCTTTATGTGGGCATTTAGTGCTATGAACTTTCCTCTTAGTACTGCTTTCATGGTGTCCCATACATTTGGGTATGCTGTGCATTCATTTTTCATTGAACTCTAGGAAGTCTTTAGTTTCTTTATATCTTCCTTGACCCAGTGGTGATTCATTTGAGCATTATTCAGTTTTCATCAGTTTGTAGATGTACCGTTCATCTAACAATGTAATGCAATTTTCTGATCCTTGAATGTTATTACCAACTATTAGGATATAAAGAAATGAAAGTTAGTAGTTAGATATTATAATAGAAATTGTAGTTATATTAGGTATGTTTTCAAGATTGAGTAGATATATTTTAGATAGACAGGTTATCTTCAAACCCTTCAGAGATCTACAGAATATGGCATTTAAAATGTTTTAATAACTTAGAAAATTTTTCTTTTTTGTTATGACTATGAGACATGTCGGCTCCTGGCAGTACCAATCTACTTCAGAGAAAATATGGGCACTGAAGAAACTGCATATGGAGTTAATTTTCATTGTGGCAAAAGTTAGCCACTGGACAACAAAGTATCCTCGAATCAACAGGACAAAATGGACAGACAGGACATAAAACAAAGGATTACTGATTCTTGCCAAAACAAGTGTGGTTATGGCTTTATCAAAAGGCATCTTCAGAGGCCAGGACAATATGGCACCATCCCTGAAGTGGCCTTTGCAATTCGAAAAAGGTACAGTGCCCTTTTCTTCGAAGGCAGCTGAACAGGCAGTGGGCCGATGGCCTCTGATGTGCAATGGAACAGCAGCTGAAACAGTTATTCTTGAAGAGTAACTAAGCTCACGCCTCTCAATAGTAGACTGGCATTTGATAGAGGGATATGGAGAAGAATGGGATGCTGAGATGAAGCCATATATACACAGCCAAGAAGAATGGACAGCTGAATTAAAAAACCATCAACAATTTCCAGAATTTAAAATCCTGAATCATGACATGACACTAGTGGAATTCAGGTGTTTCTGGTACATGGACTACTCTCACTCAATGTGAGGTTGAACTGTTGACCTTGTGTACATCCTACTTCACAAATGAGTCTGTCAGATATGCTAAGCCTATAGGCTGAAGATGATGCCCCAGCACTTCGGAGAAACCTCAGGTGACTGTCCAGACAGCTGTCTGTTTCTGTCAACTCACAAATTTTTTGGAAGTTGCTTATGTGCATTTCCTATTTTTATTTTTGTTAGCTAATATTATTTCCTTCTTGGGTCTCTGAGGGAGTTGAAGATTAGTTAGTTATAGTTGAAGGTTAGTTAGTTATAGTTGAAGATTAATTAGGATACATTTTGGACTTACCAAAATAGGATAGATAATGAAATTATTTTCTCTGAATTTGTCAAATACAAATGGACTAGACATTGTTTAGGTATTTATTACTTGTATATATTGTATATAGTTATTGTCCTTTTGTATATAGTTTTTCTTATATTAGTTATAAGCTTTTTCTTTTTTTTCCTTTTTATTAAAATAGAAAAGGGGAAATATGGTGATATTTTATTTGTATTAAAATGTTATTTGTATGTTAATAAATAAAGTTGCCCGGGGGTCAGAGCTATTAGCAAGCCATAGGAAAGCAGGGCAGTGGTAGCGTACGCTTGTAATTCCAGCACTTAGTAGGCAGAGCTGGGTAAGTCTCTGTGTGTTCAGGGATACAGCCATTATTGGATACACATGCCTTTAATCTTAATACCAATCATGGAAAACCTGGAGGCCTATACAGACAGGCTGTGAGGAGGCGGTCATGTGGTTGGGTTTACAACCAATGAGAAGGCAGGACAGGAACTCTATATAAAGACTTTAACACAGGGGTAGCTCTGGTTCGGAGAGGTAGGACCACTGCAGGAGGAAGGGTAAGGTTTTGGCTCTTGGCTCTGACCTCTTGGCTTTCTTCTTTGCATTGGTTCTGTGTTTATTGTTTGATGGGAAGGTTGGATACATCTACATGTAGACTTTCTGTAATTTGTGTTGTTGTTGAATTCTGACTTTTAAGGCCTAGTGGTCTGATAAAATACAGGAGGTTATTCTAATTTTTTGTATCTGTTGAGATTTGCTTTGTTGCCGAGTATGTGGTCAATTTTAGAGAAGGTTCTGTGGGTTGCTGAGAAGAAGGTATATTCTTTTTGTTTTGTTTTGCTTTGTTTTTGTTTTGTTGTTGTTGTTTTTCAAGACAGGGTTTTTCTGTGTAGCTTTGGCACCTTTCCTGGAAATCACTCTGTAGCCCAGGCTGGCCTCAAACTCACAGAGATTGGCCTGCCTCTGCCTCCCGAGTGCTGGGATTAAAGGCATGCACCACCACCACCACCACCACCACCACCACCACCACCACCACCCGGCAGTATATTCTTTTGTGTTTGGGTGGAATGTTCTGTAGATGTCTATTAAGTCCATTTGAGTCACAATGTCTGTTAGTATCCTTATTTCTCTGTTAAGTTTCTGTCTGGCTGACCTGTCCATTGGTGAGAGTGGAGTGTTGAAGTCTCCCACTATTAGTGTGTGGGGTTTGATGTGCGATTTAAGCTTTAGAAACCACATATATTTCTTTTACATATGTGGGTGCCTTTGTATTTGGAGCATAAATGTTCAGAATTGAGACTTCATTTGGTTTATTTTCCTGTGATGAATATGAAATGTCCTTCTCCATCTTTTGATTAATTTCAGCTTGACGTCTATTTTGTTAGATATTAGTATAGCTTGCTTCTTAGGTCCATTTGATTGGAAAATCTTTTCCCAACCCTTTACTCTGAGGTGATATCTGTCTTTGAAGTTGGGTGCAACAGAAGGATGGATCCTGTTTTCATACCCATTCTGTTAGCCTGTGTCTTTTTATAGGCAAGTTGAGTCCACTGATATTAAGAGATATTAATGACCAGTGATTGTTAATTCCTGTTATTTTTTGTTTGGGTGGTGGTAGTGGTGATAGTGTGTGTGTGTGTTTCCCTTCTTTGGGATTTGCTGGTGTGAGATTATCTATTGCCTGTGTTTTCGTGGGTACAGCTAACTTCTTCGGGTTAGAGTTTTTCTTCTAGTACTTTCTGTAGGGCTGGATTTGTGGATATGTATTGTTTAAACCTGGTTTTTGTCATAGAATATCTGTTTTTCTCTGTCTATGATTATTGTCTGCAAAACGTCTGTCCACGACCTTCTGGCTTTCAGACTCTCCTTTGAGAAGTTGAGTATAATTCTGATAGGTCTGTCTTTATATATTACTTGGCCTTTTCTCTTTGCAGCTCTTAATATTCTTTCTTTATTCTGTATGTTTAGTGTTTTGATTATTATATGTCAAGAGGACTTTTTTTTGGTCCAGTCTATTTGGTGTTTTGTAAGCTTCTTGTACCTTCATAGGCATGTTCTTTTTTAGGTTGGGAAAGTTTTCTTCTATGATTTTGTTGAATGTATTTTCTTTCCTTTGAGCTGGAATTCTTCTCCTTCTATCCCTTAGGTTTGGTCTTTTCATGGTGTCCCAGGTTTCCTGGATGTTTTGTGTTAAGAATTTGTTGGATTTAACATTTTCTTTGACTTACGAATCTATTTCCGCTATTGTATCTTCAATGCCTGAAATTCTCTCTTCCATCTCTTGTATCCTGTTGGTTATCCTTGCATCTGTAGTTCCTGTTCATTTACCCAGACTTTCCTTTTCCAGATATCCCTCAGTTTGTGTCTTCTTTATTGCCTCTATTTCAATTTTCAAGTCTTAAACTGTTTCCTTCACCTGTTTGATTATTTTTTTCTTGAGTTCTTGCCTTTCTTTAAGGGATTTATTGATTTCTTCCAATTTTTGTTTGTCTTTTCCTCCATTTCTTTAAGGGAATTTTTTCATTTTCTCTCTAAGGGCCTTTATCATCTTCATAAAGTTATTTTTAAGGTTGTTTTCTTCTGTTTCATCTGCATTGGGATGTTCAGGTCTTGCTGTTGTAGAACCACCAGGTTCTAGTCGTGCCATGTTGTTCTTTATGTTGTTGAATGTATTCTTACACTGTTGTCTACCCATCTGAATTGGGGTAACTCTAGGTATAGGTGTTGATTCTTCCTCCAATCAGTGCAGGTGGTATCTGTGCCTCCAGGGGTTGCTGATGCCACAGGGGATGGTTGGTCGGGGTGGAGGGGAGGATAATGGGTTCCATGGATTTGGGGGGTGGAGTGGGATTTGTAGGTTACAGGGTCCAGTGGGTGGCAGGGGTGGTAGAGCGGCCTTGCCTCAGGAATCTTACCTGCTGACACACACTACTTTTTTACTTGGGTTCTAGAGATTCAAACACCTTACCCACTTAACCTTCTCCCTACCCTACCCTGTAGTCTTTTAGAGTATTGCCCACTACTTTTCTACTCTGAATCAAAGTTAGGCAAAACAGAGACAACCACCTGGCACCAATTCTTCTGGTAGCCCCTAAATAGGTTAGGAATGGACACATCTATTAATAATGTCTTCTCTGCTCCCTCTAACACCTGGGACTTGGTAAGCACAGGCTACTACTACTAGTAGTCATCAGTAGGGGTAGAACAAGGACAAAGGTGAGCAAACTATGCTGTAAAGCTTTCCCAAGCCTTTGTGTTGCTTTTTTCTTTGTACCATCTTTGTGTGTTTGCTGCAAACCTGTCACTTTTGCCAGGGTTATATTTGGTTTGGTCTCTTCTTATTTTTAAAAATTTAATGCATTTATTTATTTATTCAGAGAGAGAGAGAGAGAGAGAGAGAGAGAGAGAGAGAGAGAGAGAGAGAACCACCCCCTACCCAGGCATGGAGGTACGAGGACAACTTATGGGAGTCAGCTCTCTTCTTCCACCATATGAGTGGGTCCTGGGATGGAACTCATACTGTTAGTCTTGGTTGTAAGAGCCTTTACCTGCTGAGCCTTTAACTGTCCTCTTGTTTGTTTTTGTTTGTTTGTTTGTTTGTTTCTGTGAGAATGAGATCTTAGAGTTACCTACTTTTTTGTTTTGATGTCATCATTGTGGGGTGAATTTTTTTGTCACCTGGAATGTTTTTAGAGAGGTTCAGTGCTGGGGATTGAACTTAGGTTTCTACTACTGAGCTATATCCCTAGCCTGGTCACAAAATGTCTTATTTTCCATTGTTCTTAAGAAAGTTTTGAGTGGATAGCCACTGTTTTTGTTGATTTGTAAGGAGATCCTAGGATTCAAGTGGTCTCCATGATGTTTAGTTCAAAATCTGACAGAGAAGTCCAATGCAGTAGCTTCAGTGAATGACTTTTGCTTTGGGTACTACTGAGAGGGATTTTGTATATACTAACTTGGTTTTGTTTTATCCCATTCTTCCTCTCACATTGCATTCATTATTTTTCTTGTTGCTGTGACAAAATACCTGGCAAAAGCAGCTTAATATATAAGGCTTTGTTCTGGGTCATAGTTTCAGAGTGTCAAAGTCCACAGTGGAGTTTATTTGCGATATGGGTGTGTGCTAGAGGCAGCCAGAGCAGGGGGTGGAGAACACAGGCCAGCACCAGAACTGGAAGCAGATATTAGCCTTCAGAGCCCTACCTTCTAATAACCTTCCACAAATACCATTTCCTAAAGGCTCCACAACCTCCTAAAACAGTGCCACCAGCTAAGGAACAAAAGCATTGTGGGGTACATTTTTTATTTGAACCATAGCATGCATGACCTTAATTTCCCCCTTGTTTTTTTCCTGCCACTACCACATCTTCAAATCCTTCTTCATTCCTTTGTTTACATTTTTACCTTCAGAAGTAATGCTTTTCATTGTCACCTTGGGTTCTGCATATTTTTCCTACAGCTAGCAGTTCTTTGATATAGCAGATCAGTCTTTCGGTACTTTTATGCACATAGATGGCAAGGCACTGGGCATCTTTCTAAACATGATCATTTTATGCATTCTGCTCTGGCTTTTCAGACCCCTCTTGTATTTCTGAACAGTTCATGGCAAGAGTTTGAAAGACAACTGGGATAGATGTTTGTTTTTTGTTTGTTTGTTAGTTTGGGGTTTGTAGGTGATTAGAGCATTCTACAGTACTCTCTAATTTGTATTATACATTATACTGAAAGTATTGGTTATGAGTCGTCCTATGTGCTGTGTTGAGCAGTAAAGTTTATTAGGAAGTTTATGGAGAGATTTGAAGGATTTTTGGTAAGTTGGGTTTTTTCCAAATGCTGAAGTTTCAGCCCAAGCCTTTGTACATACTAGATAGGTGCTCTGCTAAAGAGCTGCATCCCAAGCCCCTATGTGGAAAGATTTGGATTTATACAAATGTATTTATTCTAGACTACCTGAAAGCTCCTTATTTTTAATTGTAAGAAGCTAAGATATAATTTACCTACAGGAAAATGGATCCTTTTAGTGTATAGTTATGTTAACCCATAGCTGTAAACCACCACCACAGTGGAGGCAAGAGTTCTGTTACTCCCTTTGTAGCCAGCCCCTGCTGCACCTGGTCCTCTAACTCCTGGTATATTTTCTATCTCTGCAGTTTTTAACTTTCCCATTAGTTACATAAGTGGAACTATACAACAAATAGCTGCTTGAGCTTGGCTTCTTTCATTTAGCACAGTACATTTACTATAGGTATTATCATCTATGTCATTAATTCCTTCATTTTTATTATTGAATAGTATGACATTATGTGGATTCAAGTTTGTTCATTTGCTGACGAAAAGTGCTTAGGTTATTTCATGTTTGGGTGAATAAAAAAATAAATGTTCATTTGTAAGCTTTTGGAGACTGTGTGACTTTCATTTCCCTGGGATAAATACACCTAGGAACCTTATTACTGGGTTGTTCAATAATATTCCTAACTTCGCAAACACTTGGAAAACTGTTTCCAAAGGCCTTTGCTCTTTCTGCCTTCATGTCTGTGACAACAGAGATCCAGCTGCTCCATATCTACACTACTTTATTGTGAGGTCTCCTATTCTCACAGATGTGTGGTGGTATCTCATTCATTGTGGTTTTAACTTGCAGTTCCCTGATGACTAATGATGTTGAACATTTTTTATGTATTTATTTGACATTTATATGTCTTGTTTGGTGATATATTCCCCTTTTTTGTTTTAATAGTTGTTTTTATATTTTCAGATAGTTCTTATTTGAGTTTTATACTCTCCAATAGTCTAATAGTACTTTTTATGTTATCAGATATCTGATCTGTAATATTTACTTCTATTCTGTGACTTGTCTTTTCATTATCTTTAAGAGTGAGTATCAGAAATGTTTGTGTTACTTGGTTCATCAGGATTTAAGGGACTTTTTCCCATACTTTTCCCCTACAAATACTATGGGTTTAGATACTACATTTAAGTCAGTGATGCATTTTGAGGTGTATTTTTTTATGCTGCAGTTATTTTAGAATCACTTGTTGGGATAATTTTCAGGAAAGTGGAGGGAGGAACTGAAGCAGAGACTATGGAAGAGTGCTCCTCATATGAAGCTTGCTCTTCCTGCCTTGCTCAGCTACCTTTCTCATACACCCAGGCCCACCTGCCTAAGGATGTTGCTGCCACAGTGGACTGGGCCCTCCCACATCAATTAACAATTAAGAAAATGTACCACAGATATACCTGTAGGTCAAATCTGATGGATGTAATTATTCAGTTGAGGTTCCTTTCCCTAGGTGACTCTAGTTTGTATCTAGTTGGCAAAACCTAACCAACACACACGTATTATAGTATATTAGTTGGCGTAATTTTAACTTTTCTGGCAGACACATAGTGATGTCTCATTGTGGCTTAAATTTTCACTTACCTGAATATGACTTGCATTTTCACTGTTATACTTAAGATATAAGACATGAGTATGTCTGTGTGTGCCATGTATGTGAAGGTACCCATGGAGGCCACAACAGAGCATAGCTAGAGTTATAGGCTGTTGTGAGCCACTTAATGTATGTGCTAAGAACCAAACTTCAGTCTTCTGGAAGAGCAGCAAGCACTCTTAACCACTGAGCCATCTCTGTAGCCCCTATATATACTTAGATTCTGTTTTTCTCCTAGATACCTATCCTTATGATAATATCATATCATTTTAAGTATTTTATCACTTAATGCAATTGTTTTCTCTCATGATTTGTGATTCTCTTTCAAAGTAGGCTATTAGTGTGTTGTGAAGAAGACATCTTGATGAACTGGGAGCACAATTAGAAGTTTCCTCATATATCCTTATCACTCAGTGGTCAGCATTTTAGAGTAAAAGAAGCTTTCTGTTACAGGAATTAGTAACATTTGAGGATGTAGCTGTGGATTTCACCCAGGAAGAATGGCAATACCTGAACCCTCCACAGAGGACCCTGTACAGAGATGTGATGCTTGAGACCTACAGCAACCTTGTTTCTGTGGGTAAGATGGCTTCCTCAAATAATTTTTAATGGTTATTGTATCCAGTGTGGGGAGGGCCTTGGCTTGATTGATTTCATATTTTTCTTTCATTAAAGGAAACACAAAATACTGGTTAAATTGTTTGTGTCAAGTGATAGATCCCCGGTGCTGATCACAAACTGCAACTTCTGTTTCAGGCTCCAAAGACCAAGGAGGTATCTATCATTTATCATCTTCAGAACAGCAGGTTACTAAACCTGATCTCATTATCAAGCTGGAGGTAGAAGAACCAGAGCCAGAAGATGGGGAGATTTCAGTTTGGAGCTTTCCAGGTAGTATCTTAATGCAGCCCTCTGTCCTGTTTTTCTTGTAAGGTAGATCAGATTTGGGACAGGCTTTCCTCTCTTTTTCCTTCCTAAGTATTTCCATCAAGAGGTTTGTCATGCACAGTTGTCTCTGTTTTATGCTATTATTTGCTGGTAATTGCTTGATTAGGCAAGTTAATTCACTAATAGCTGCAAAATGGTGAGCTTTTAATTGTTTATTCTTGAAAATTTCATATATGCATACAATGAAATATGATCACACTTACCCTACCATTTCCCACCTCCTATTCCTCTCATAGTCCCCTCAACAGATCTTCCTCACAATTTCATGTCTTTTTTTTCTTAGAAATATGTCTAGTTAGTGCTGTCCATATGTTCATGGATGTGGGAAAACGCAAAACAGTTGTGGTTACCATCACAAGATCAAGCCAGCCCAAATTACAGCAGAGGGAAGATTATCACCAAACCTCACCCCTTACCAATGAACTATTGGCTGGAAGAGGGAGAGTCATTCTTCTTTGAGGATATGGCCATTCGTAGGACTTCCATGATCCAATGATGAGATTTTAATTCTGTTATTCATTCATTATCTAGCTAGAATACTTCTATGAAAACAAATTGTGAATATCTGGCATGGTGGCACATGCCTTTAATCCCAGCTCTCAGGAGGCACAGACAGGAAGATCTCTTGTGAGTTCTAGGCCAGCCTAGTTTACATAATGAGACCCTGTCTCAAAAAAGAGTGGGGCCGGGCGGTGGTGGCACACGCCTTTAATCCCAGCACTTGGGAGGCAGAGGCAGGCGGATCTCTGTGAGTTCGAGGCCAGCCTGGGCTACCAAGTGAGTTCCAGGAAAGGCGCAAAGCTACACAGAGAAACCCTGTCTCGAAAAACCAAAAAAAAAAAAAGAGTGGGAGAAATTGTCTCTCACTTATTATTTGGTTACTAGGAGTTACATATTCTATAGAAAAGAGACGAAAAGTGATTGAGGTTTTGTTTATCATTATTCAAAATAACTTTTAGTTGGGCTGGCTCAGCAGTTAATACCACTTGCTACTCTTCCAGAAGACTTGAGTTTGGTTCCTAACACTCATGTCAATAGACTTACAAACACCTATAACTCCAGCTTCAGTGGATCCAAAACCCTCTTTTTGTTTCTGTGTGCAACCACACTCATGTGCACATACCCACATATGAACACATAAACACAAAAATAAATAATTTTTAAAAACAATAATAATATTTTTTCCCAAGGTAGGGTTTATCTGTGTAGCCCTGGCCATCCTGGAACTCTCTCTGTAGACCAGGCTGGCCTCAAACTCAGACATTTGCCTGCCTCTGCCTCCTGAGTGCTGGGATTAAAAGCATGTACCACCATTGCCTAGCAAAAAAAATCAGTAATTTTAAAAATGGTTTTAGCAACATCTGAAGGTGACCAATTTTTTAATTAAAATTTTCATGCAAGTATATATTGTATGTTAAACATATTTCCCTTCTATCTTAGAGTTACTGTTGCTGTGATGAAACTTCATGACAAAAGCAAATTGGGGAGAGAAAGGTTTATTTGGCTTATGCTTACACATCACTGTTCATCAGTGGAGGAAGTCAAGGCATGAACTCAAACAGGGCAGGAACCTGGAGGCAAGAACTGAAGCAGAGGCCATAGAGGTGTACTGCATACTGGCTCAGTCCCCATAGCTTGCTCAGTCTGATTTCTTACAGAACCCGGGATCACCTATCCAGGTGATAATGCCACCACAATGAGCTGAGACTTCTAACATTAATAACTAATTAAAATTAAAATCACTTTATTAAAAATGTTCTACAGGCTTGCCAGCAGCATGATCTAATGGAGCCATTTTCTCAATCAAGGTTCTCACCTCTCAGATAACTATTGCTTGTATCAGGTTGACATAAAGCTAGCCAGCTCATTTTCAAACCAGTCCACTTTCCCTTTTCTTACCCATTCATCTCCCATTATGTCACTTGTTCCCCTAGACAGTTTTATATCTACTTTCACATTGTGTGTGTGTGTGTGTGTGTGTGTGTGTGTGTGTGTGTGTGTGTGTGTGTGTGTGTACACATATATGGTTTTATGTATATACACAAAAATCTAGGAACCACAAATGAAAAAAGATGCTTATATTTTAGAGACTGGCTTAATTCACTTAATATGATTATTTCTAGTTGCATCCATTTTTCCTGCAAATGACATGATTCCATTGTTTATAACTGAAAAAAATCTATTGTGCATATGTAGCATTATTTTCTTTACCCAATTCTCTGTTGGACAAGATTGGTTTTCCTTAATTTAACTATTAATTTAAATTAAAACTTAATTTAACTATTGTGAGTAGTGCTACACTAGACATTGATGTGCAAGGATCTCTGTAGGTGGAATTTTTCTGTCCCAATAGTTAGTTCCCAAATAACCACACAGAGACTATTATTAATTATAAATTCTTGGTCAAGAGCTCAGTTTATCACTAACTAGCTCTTATAACTTAAATTAACCCATATTTCTTATCTATGCTCTGCCACATGGCTCAGTATCTTTTCTCAATATGGCAAGTTCATCTCCTACTTCTTCTGCATCTCCATGTGACTCCCGATACTCTTCCCTTCCTCTTCTTCTTCCCAGCATTCTCTTAGTCTGATTCTCCCACCTAACCTTATCCTGCCTAGCTATAGGCCAGTCAGCTTTTTTATTAAACCAGTCACAGTGACATATATTCATACAGTATAAAGGAATATTCCACAGATCTCTGTGATATGTTGATTTGGAGTTCTTTGGGTAAATACCTAAGAATTGTGTAGCTGTGTCAATTTATATCCTTTTCTGTGTAGTATTTATAGCTTTACAGATATAAGCATTCTTAAGTCCTTTTTTGGGGGCAGGTACTCAATGTTTTGCCCAGGCTAGCCTCAAACTTATAATCTCCTGCCTCAGCCTCAACAGTACTGAGATTGCAGGTATGACTCACCATGACAGGCAAAACATTTTTGTCATAAGCAATTGCCTTGGTATTCTTATGAGTCAAACTATCCTACCTTTGGTTAGTGGAAACCCTTTAAGTTGGCCACGAAGCTCCACATCACCCATCCCAAGTGGTAATACAGAAAGACAGATCAGACTCATAAGACAAGACATAAACAACAAAGCAGACAGTAGCAATTGCTGTCACACAGAAGTTTTACCAGTCTGAACAAAGAGAATTTAAATGATAAGAGGCTGTTTTAGTTGCCTCCTTACACAACCTCTGGACTGCCTGATGTCCCCACATTGGGCCGTTCCAAACTCTAAGTTTGGCCCCCAATGTCCTGTAAGGCTTTGTTGTACAGCTTCGGCTTTGGAACCCAGCTGACAGTGCCAAGGTGCTGGGCCACTGCAAGTTTGACTCAGTCCCCAGTGTCATCAGGACATGAAATCAGAGATCCAAGGCAGGTCAGAAAGCAACTGTTGTATTTTGTTTGAATCTTAAATGGTCTTATAATAAAAAACCCATGTGCCAGATATTGGGGTGAAAACTGAAAGAACAGAGAAGCAGAGCAAGCCACAGCCACCACCTCTTACCTCATCAACTCCTCAGCCTGAAAGAGCTCAGCCAATAGGCCTCTAGCCGAATGAGCTTCCTCAGCCAAAAAGGCTTTAGTTCCTGTCTCCTCATGCTTTATATACCTTTCTCTACCCGGCCATCACTTCCTGGGATTAAAGGCATGTGTGCTTCCCAATACTGAGGAATACCAATGCCAAATACCAAAAGATATGTGTCACCACTGCCTGGCTCTGTTTTCACTCCTAGACTGAGTCAATCTCATGTATTCCAGGGTGTCTTTGAGCTCACAGAGATCCAGATGGATCTCTGCCTTCCAAGTGCTAAAATTAAAGATGTGTGCCACCACTGCCTAGCCTCTGTGTTTAATCTAGTGGCTTGTTCCGTTCTCTGATCTTCAGACAAATTTTATTAGGGTACACAATATATCACCACACTGGTGGCTCTAGTCCAGTTAACCAGAATAACCAGAGGGACATGGGGCATCTCCCTGTGCCTTAGACAAAGGATTTTGGGATCTCATTAGATCCCCTTCATCCCCAGTAGGATACCCCCAAACCAGAATCTAGAAACCAGACAGAAAAGTGTTACAGAGCTAAAAAAAAAAAAAAGCTTCTGGGAGGTCTCTATAAAAATGCATGCTACTTTTTTTTCCAAGCTGCAGGAAGAGGGGTTCTCTGTGTAATAGCCCTGGTTGCCTTAGAACTCTCTTTGTAGACCATTCTGGCCTCAAACCCAGAGATTGCCTGTAAAGATGTGAACCATCATACCAGACCCTATCCTGGGTGATTTCGTGTTTCTGTATAAAGCAGAAGGTTGTTCTTTTAAAATCTGTGAAGAATTGTGTTGGCATTTTGATGGATTGAATCTGTAGATTGCTTTTGGTAGGATGGCCATTTTACTATGTTAAGCCTAATGATCCATGAGCATTGGAGATATTTCCATCTTCTGATATCTTCTTCTATTTCTTAACATTTTTATTACTTTCACTTGCTTGATTAGAGTTACCCCAAGACATTTTATATTATTTGAGGCTATTACAAAAGATGCCACAACTTGAATCTTATAAAATCACGTTTAGGCAGTTTCATTCCTAAAGGTTAGAGAGTATGTTTAAAATTCTTTAAAGAAAAAATCCTCATGTCTTCAAATTGATACTTCTAAATCAAATTCTAGAATTTTTTATTTTTGGTACATTTGTGTGTGTGTGTGTGTGTGTGTGTGTGTGTGTGTGTGTGTGTGTGTGTGTGTGTTCGACACACATGCATGTCATAGCATTTGTGTGAAGGTCAGAAGAAAAATTTACAAGAGTGGGTTCCCTTGTTATATCCATTGGGTCCCTAGAATTAAATTAAGGACATAAATATCATTGCCTGCTGAATCATCTCATTAGCTCTAATTCTTTTGATTAATTTTTCATCTGTTATGTACATGTAGTACATTGAAGTGATTGAGGTAATGATTTTGGTACCTCTGAGAACTGAGACTTCTTACTAGAAAATAGAAATGACAAAGTATCTACCATTATTCAGTTTTTCTGATGGTTATATAAAATATTACAAAAATGTTTATGTGGTTCTGAAGTGAAATCTAGGAAACAAGATTATTAAGAGCAGCTCAGGGCTGGGGAAATGGCTCAGTAGATAAAATGTTTGGTGCCAAGTCTGATTACCTCAATTCAATTCCTGAAACCAACAGGGAAGAGGGCAAGAAAGAACTGACTTCTGCAAGTTGTCCTCAGGCCACTGCATATATGCTGTGACATCTGTGCCCCCTAACATAACAATAAATAAATAAATAAATAAATAAATAAATAAATAAATAAATAAATAAATAAATAAATAAATAATAAATAATAAATGTAAATTTTAAAAAAAGCAGTCCAATTCTTTCCCTTTCTACCATACTTTCTTCTGTTCCTCACAGGTAACCTTTAGTGGAATTTAGTTTATCTTCACATTGTTTTCTTACAACAGTGACCCTATATGGATATACTTAAACATTTATCTATTCCTTAAAGTTATACCCTACAGTATACAGGGGGGTTTTGGTTTGGTGTGGTGTGGTTTTTAAGACAGAGTCCAATTGTTTAACCCTGGCTGGCCTGGGATTCACTGTGTAGACCAGACTGGCTTCGAACTCACAGAAATCTCCTGCATATGCCTCCCAAGTACTGAGATAAAGATGTGCACCATCGCACCTTGCCCCTATGCACAGTTTAATTTGCCCCTTTTCACTTAGTTTTTGAGAACACATCAAATACATATTTGTGTATGTATATGAACTCGTTATTTCTTTTATGATAATATAGTGTGGCTATACATAACTCATAATATCAGTAGAAGTTTGGTTCAGTAAACATTTTAATTATTTCATTATTGCCATATAAGCTCTATTGTAAGTATTTAATTCCCCTAAATATCCTTTTTGGTGAGCACTGTTTTATAGGTGGGAAAATTATACAAATAGATTAGATCAAGTGAAAAGCTGAGTCAGAATTCACTCCTGATCCAAATATTCCACATGACCTAAACCACAGGAGCATACTACTTATGATCACCTAAGGAGGTTAAGATTTAGCAGATCCTAGATGTAGTTTGACTTCTTCTAAATGCAACTTGTGAGACCCCTTCCTGTGATTCAGTGTCCATCACTTGCTAAGAACTTGTGCTCTTCTATTTAGAGAAAGGAAATCACAGGGAGGGAAACTACAACCATGTGACCTATTTTAAAATTCATTGCTACTGTAGTAAATCCTAGTACTATAAAATCTAAGAAACTTAAATAGTAGTTGTACTCTACTTGTTTCAACATTTCTCCGTGCTTGTAGGTTTTCATATACAATCTTAGAAATTACAGAGGGTGGAGATGTAGCTCAGTGCTTAAGAGCACTTGTGTTGTTCTTTCACAGGACCTGGGTTCAGTTCCTGGCACTCACATGGTGATTCAAACCATCAATAACTCCAGTTCCAGGAGATCCGACTCCTTCTTCTGACCTCTGTGGGCACAGGGCACACACATTGTACACATACATGTAGGCAAAACACTTATACACATAAAATAAATAAGTCTAAAAATTTTAAGTAAACTGGGAAACATAATTTATGTATATTGCAAAAAATATCTGCTAAATTTTGTTGAATTTTGGATACTATTGATTTTAAGATTTGCCACTAAGAAATAAATATTGCCACTAATTAAGTTATGGCATGTTGCCAGCATTGATTTTTAAGGTATGTTTGGATTCAGAGATGTTAAAATGTGAAATATTTTATAGATTATAAAATATGAAATTAAAGGCAGAGTTGCAATTTAACTGTTAAATGAGTGGTAGAGATTATTAAATATATTAGATATTAATCAAAATTTAAAATATAAAGGAAGGACAGAGTAAGCTTTTGTAAAATGATAAAACTGCCTCTTAAAAGTTATCTAGATTCTGAATATAGCAAAATATAGAAGACAGGAGGGTAATATAAGGAAACATCACAAGTCATAGAGTTAAAATATGCACAGATTTTAAGTGAAGTAGAGTGCTCACTAGCAGAGACAGTGGTGTTGAAAAACTGTGTATGTGTTGAGGGAGATCATACTTGTGAGCTCCAATTGAGAATAGTTTTGTTTTGTTGAGTTCATTATTCTAGATTTTCTGTCATAGGGATCAGAATTATTAATATTGAGTTTAGGAAGTACAATGCTACATTTTCCCTAGGTGGAAGGAATATATGTTAGGTGTAGCCAGAAGTTCATATAATTATGCCAGCTGTATTGGCACATGCCTTTAACTCCAGCACTCAGGAGGCTGAGGCAGGTGGATCTCTATGAGTTCAGGGTTAGTCTAGTCTACATGGTGAGTTCCAGGACCCCCATGTCTACATAGAGAAACCCTACCCAAAAAAGTTCATATAACTAAGAAAATTAAGGGTGAGAGATGTTATGGGAAGTTTTTCTTGATCATAAAAAAGACAGTACATGAGAATTTACTAAAAGGTCCTCTGTCTCTCCCTTGGGACTCTGATAAAATGATGTGATAGTTTCATCTGGATCACAGGGAAAGCTCTTATAAGATGCCCTTAGAGGGAGCCAAGCCCAACCTCGGATCTGCTAGATCTGCATCTCAGGTGGTCAGTAGCTGTATGGCAGTAACAGCTGAGGTCATGGCATTTCTGAAAAAAGGACTACTCCCCATAATGACAAGTATACACATGATTTACTGTGCTTTTTTTTAGAAGTCTGCCAAATTAATGAACAGTTTGAGAGGCAACATCAGGATAACCAAGATAAGTATCTGTTGATGCAATTTGGATTCCCTGATGACAAAATAATTACCAAGAGTGACCAGAACTATGCTGAGTTTGAAAACACATTTCATCTGAGCACAAGCCTTGTTGTCCCAATGCAAAGATCCCACAAATTTGAATCATTTGGAAATAATATGGTGGACAATTTAAGCTTGCTTAGTAGAAGCTCTACAGAAAATAAACATGATACTGGATGTGCAAAGTTATTCTTCCATACAGAATATGAAAAACCTAATTTCATAGTGAAACCCTGTGGATATAAAGAATATGACAAAACCCTCAGGCGAAAGAAAGGTCTTAGCCTTCATCAGAGAATTAAAAATGGAGAGAAGCCTTTTGAATGTACTGCATGTCAGAAAACCTTCAGCAAAAAGTCACACCTCATTGTACATTGGAGAACTCATACAGGAGAGAAACCATTTGAGTGTACTGAATGTGGGAAAGCTTTTAGCCAAAAGTCCCAGCTCATTATACACCTCAGAACTCATACAGGAGAAAGACCCTTTGCATGTCCAGAATGTGGCAAAGCCTTCAGAGAAAAGTCAACTGTCATCATACATTATAGAACACATACAGGAGAGAAACCTTATGAATGTAATGAATGTGGGAAAGCCTTCACTCAGAAGTCAAACCTCATTGTCCATAAAAAAACCCACACAGGAGAGAAAACCTATGAGTGTACCAAGTGTGGGGAATCTTTCATCCAGAAACTTGACCTAATTATACATCATAGTACTCACACAGGAAAGAAGCCTCATGAATGTAATGAGTGTAAGAAAACATTCAGCGATAAGTCAACCCTCGTTATACATCAGAGAACTCACACTGGAGAGAAACCTCATAAATGTACTGAATGTGGGAAGTCTTTCAATGAGAAGTCAACCCTCATTGTGCACCAAAGAACTCATACTGGTGAGAAGCCCTATGAATGTGATGTGTGTGGGAAAACTTTCACTCAAAAGTCAAATCTAGGTGTGCATCAAAGAACTCATTCAGGAGAGAAACCATTTGAGTGTAATGAGTGTGAGAAAGCCTTCTCTCAGAAATCCTATCTCATGCTACATCAGCGAGGCCACACTGGAGAGAAGCCCTATGAATGTAATGAATGTGAAAAGGCGTTTTCTCAGAAGTCCTATCTCATTATACATCAAAGAACTCATACAGAAGAAAAACCCTATAAATGTAATGAGTGTGGAAAGGCATTCCGAGAAAAGTCAAAACTCATTATCCATCAGAGAATCCACACAGGAGAGAAACCCTATGAATGCCTTGTGTGCTGGAAAGCTTTTAGCCAGAAGTCACAGCTCATCATCCATCAGAGAACACACACAGGAGAAAAGCCCTATAAATGCACAGAATGTGGTAAAGCATTCAGGGAAAAATCCACATTCACAGTACATCAAAGAACTCACACTGGAGAGAAACCCTATAAGTGTGCAGAATGTGGCAAAGCCTTTACCCAGAAATCCAACCTTATTGTACATCAGAGGACCCATATAGGAAAGAAGGCCCATGGAAGAGGCCACACCTGCAAGGCAAAACTCACTCCAAAATATGGAACAAAGCAGTAGTGTCTTTCATATACCCAAAAGGAAAGATGTGTTGATTTAATGTTGAAAAAGAATGACCTGAATTCTAGTCTAATCATTGGGATAAAGTCAGCATTTCTTTTCATCTATTTTCACCCTAATGCAGGTTGAAATAGAAGCAGATGTGTAATTTCTTTGGAAACCACTGCAACCATAGGGCTGTCAGTCTAAATGGCAATCAAACACTAGTACATGAGATTTCATGGCTTCAGAAGTGAGGCAGCATAGCTAAGGACTCTCCTCTGAGGGTTGAGATACACTTTAAGGTGCATGACCAGAGACAGCTGTGACAAAGACCATGTGAGGCCTGAGGAGAAACAGGCAGACAGACCTTATATTTATAGAAAGTAATCAGACAGATTTGAGGAAGAGCTAGAGGTGGGAAGCTGGGGCAAAGAAAGGGATATAGTTGGTCTTGTTTACTGGTTTGGGGAAAGTAAAGTGTGAAAGAACTAACAGAAGGTAAGGGGTGTTTCATTTGTTTGAAAAACTGATCTGTCTAGAATGTGGCCCTGGCATCTTCCTCCACAAGAACCTCAGGCAAACATCAAATCCAGGAACAACTCTTCTCATTCAAAGAAAAGCGTGTAAAAGTAATCAAAATCACAAATACATCTCCACTTCTAGGAATACATATACTCATATGTGTACAAAATGATCAAAACAGGTATTTGTTGATGCAGTGTTTAAAATCAAAAGATTAGAAGCTTTCCAAATGGCATCACCTGGATTCTTCTTCCTAAAACTGATACATATTCATACAGCAAACTCGAGACCAAAATGAACAAAAAGAATGTGGATATCATTTCCGTAATGATTTGGGGTAGTCTCCAAGTTACATCATTAGATAGGAAAAGCAAGGTGCAGCACAGTGAGTATAATGTGCTACCATTTGTATATAAAAAGGAGAAAATGGTAAGTACAGAGTTCATTGTATGCATAATATGTTTCTGGAAAGGAATATAAGAATCTGATTATCATTATTATCTTACAGAAGGGAAGGGGGCAGTACGTGACAGGGAGATGAAACCTCAAGACACCTGTGCATTCTCTCATAGCTTTGGAAAGTTGTACAGTGTGGATATATAACCTTTTTGACAAATAAATCTTTAAAACCATATTTCATTCCTTTAATAGTTAACTCTAGATACATAATTTATAACATTTAACGTATATAAGCTGAGTAGAGTTTATTTTCAGTGAAATAATTTGAATTATTTCAGTGAAATAAATTGAACTACCGGCAAACAGGAGCAAATATTCAATCAATTCCTAAAATATGTAGGCATTTTTTTCTAAGCATGAAGTAAAGTAATTCTAAGGTCATCTGGGACCATATTACATAAGCCTAAAATAACTGAAACTAGAACGTATTTCATATTTAGGGTGCACATTGACACCTGTGAGAAGTTACTTTATTAAAATTCATTGATATCTTTTCAAATCTTAAAATGATTTAAATGACTGCATATGCATACACTGTTTTTACAAGAAGCATAAAGCACCAATTCAATGGGAGGCAGAATAACTTGCTCCAAATATTACACAAGTGCTAGTGACATGAATTTCCCAAGATCACAGATGAAATCGAGACCCATGAGAACAATAAAACAACATTTGCTGTAGAACAAGAGATCTTGTCTGTGAATTACTCTATTTGTAGCCCTCTTGATAATATGGCTATTCATTGAGTCTGTCTCTAGCATTATTAGGCAACCCAAGCTATGTACAACCTAGAGGTCATTGGAGTTTATACTCATCAGAACAGATGAATTAGACTTGAGTCTGTACCTTTCTAGACCACCTTGTTTAAGACTCTGTGTGTGCATGTGCATGTGCTCAATGAGGCAGAGAGTCACTCCCAGGGTATTTTTTGTCTATTTGTGTCCATATTTATTTTCTAGAGTCAGATCCTAAACGTTAAATTGCTTTGATATTGATTTCTAAATTGCATTTAGAAAGTTTAATACACTACTCTCAATAATCTTCTTTCAAACTCCATAGCCCCAGTCAAACACTAATGTATAAAATTTGCTGAACTTGGGTCCTCTGTAAGAGCTCACTGAAACACTGGGCCATCTTTCCAGCATCTTTTTTTATTCTTTATTTCTGGTGGGGGGGCAGTGAGCAGTAGGCTCAGGTTGGGACGTGGGGGATGTTATTTCAGAGCTGGAGCTCAAACATGGGGCTTTGCAAATGTGAAGTGCTCTCACACTCTGTTCCATCCTCACCCTCATTTTATTTTTGAGCTCTGTAAATCACATATGTCCAATTCCAAGTACAGGAAATGTAGGGTCAACTAGATTGTTCCTTGTGCAGTCTACAGAAAATATGCCTAAGGGAACTGGAAGTAGCTATTTGATTATTTTACCAATAGAAAATCACCTCAATTAAGTTACTCTGCATTAAGGTGAGAGCTCAGCTTGTACCTTTTCCTGCGAATTTTGTACACTTTCCTGTGCCACAGATGGCAACTTGCTCCAGCTACATTTAAGCAAATTGAGGTAAGAGTCATAGACTGAAGAGGAAGGGATGAGGATGAACTGCAGGATGCAAATGTGCTGATGTTAGAGGGAAAGAGAGGAGGGTAATGAAGAACCAAGTGTGGCTAAATGGGGCCAGTAAAAGGCAGAATTGGGGACTGTTTCTAGTGGTCCCAGTTGGGGTCATCCCTGGGGATTCCTAGAATCTTCCCTAACACCCGGTTTCTCTCTATCCCCATGATGTCTCCCTCTATCATGGTATCTATTTCACTGTTTTCCCACTCCATCCAATTCTAACTCAACTCTCCATTTCCTTATGTTCTCATTCTCCATCCCCTGCCCTCCATTCCATCCCATATACCTATGCTCATAGTGCCTGTCATTACCCAAAGGTCCTGTGACTATAAATTTTGACACCACAGATCCTTGTTACCTACGAGTATCCATCATTCTTTCACTCTAACTGTCCATTCATTTTGATGGCCCATCCCTTTTCCTTCTCTCCACTCAACTGCTTCTAGCAGAAACATTTGCTAAACCTTGCCTTCCCTCACTTCCAATGTAACTACTTGCCAGTTCACTCTCAAATACTACCCATGCCATGGGCAGTTGGTGAGGACCAAGAAGAGAACCCCACTATGAGCATAGGTATATGAGGTGGAAACAACTTGTACTCCGGACTCAGTGAAGGTAAACTCTGTGCTCCATGTCCTTGTTGGTATTTATAGTTAGCATGTCTGAGACCATCATATATCAAAAAAGTAGCTGGGAATAAAATTTTATCTCTGAAGATGAGGAAACCCAAAGGATCTATAAATTATTACAATAAAATAAATGAAAACAAGGTTGCTAAATACTAGTTCAAAGTTTAGAAATTACTTTTCTTTGTACCATCAATGACCAGAACAAGGATCATTAATTCAGTGTGGAGGAACAGAAACATAACAAGGCCATTCATTGAGACTCTTGAGTTGAATGAGGATTAATCTATAAATGTCTAGAATGCATTAGGAAAGGAGTAGAGAGCTGGAGTGAAAGTGAAAAGGCCATGTATCTGATCATGGAGGTGAGGTGAACTAGGACCCACTCTCAAACCTAAGCAAAGGATGGGGCAGTAAACTGTGAAGATGTCCCGTCACTGAAGGAGTTGGCTTCCTTGTGTTAAAACCACCAGAGGCCAGTGTCCTTTAAGAAAACATCATGGCAAAGGATTTGACACACACTCACCAGCTAGGTCTTTCTTCTACTCACCATCCCAGTGTTTTAAGTGCTCACCTCCCTGTGCAATTTTAGATTTTTCTCCCATCCAGGGCTCTTCATCAACATGAAGATCATAACTGCTTTGAGAACTTGTCACCCTTACATAGACATGATTAAAGATTATCCACTTAAGCTTGGGGTCTTGTCATGGCTAAGAACGGGACAGCTTCATGGGCTACATAACACAAACATCCATTTCTGTGTAGGCCAAGTCAGGCCATTCTGCATCCTCCAGGGACCACAGAAATGGGGAATACAAACACACACACACAGGCAAAAAACAAGCTACATTAGTGGGCCCATGTATCGGCTCCTCTGCTAAGGTTCTGACTAGTATAGACCTTGTCCTCAGCATCCAAGATAAGTGGAATGTTTTAACTATGAGAATGCAAGGCAGGAAAAATGGAGAAAGATAAACATGCAAAGATGAATTCAAGAAAGTAGGTGTGTCTATGCTATAATAGGATGCAGTAGTTCCCTTTTACCAAGGCTGTTTTTTCTTTAATTTCAGTCAACTCTGTTCTGAAAATATTAAATGGAAAAAATTCCAAAAATACTGTTTTAAATTGAGTGCCATTCTGAGAAGCATCAGATTTTATTCCATCCCATAAATCTCCTTATCAAGCATTTTCATGCTGTTAGTGATTCAGTAGCCCTCTTGGTTTTTGGATTGACTGTCACTGTATCACAGGGCTTGTATTCAAATGCTTCTTTTACTTAGTAATGACCCTGAAGCATAAGAGCTGTGATGCAAAGTTTTTGATATACCTTAGAGAATCCTTTCATTGAAAAAGTGAAAGGTCTGACCTTAAGAAAAAATATATAACTTGATGTTGCCTAAGCCTATAACTGAGAATGAATCTTTGGAGCCAGGTGTGGTGGTACATCTGTAATCCCAGTACTAAGGAGGCAGAGACAGGAAAATCACAAATTCAAGGACATCCTGGGATACATAGTAACACCCTGTCAAAGAAGAAAGGATACAAGGTGATGGAAGCAGGAAGAGAAAAATCTTCTGTCCATGAGCTTGTGGGGGGAAAAAAACGTTCCTGCTAATTTTGCTGTTGTACCTCAAAATGCAAATGTTACAGCCACAGTGCTCATTAAAGTCATAAGTATGATAAGCAAGGCATTAAATTACAGGATTAGCTACTTTCCATGGTTTTAGGACTTTACCAGTGTCTTTGAACATACTCCCTGCAGATGAAGGACACTCTGACTCACAGATTGGATGCCTTAAACAAACACAGTTCTGGACATGGGGAAGTCCATGATCAAGGCACTCAAAAAACCTGTGTCTGGTGAGGCCTGGCTTCCTGGTTTGCAGATGGCATCTTGTATATGCAGAAAGAAACTCCTTTTCAGTTAAGATACTAATCCTATCATAGGGGCTCTGCTATCATGACTTCATCTAATTCCAATTAATAGAGAAAAGCCCCATGTCTGAACCCTATCCAATTGAAGGTTAGGGTTTTTACATAGAAGCTTGGGGGCACAGTGAGTGCAAGCATGCAGTCTGCAACAGTAGCCAAGTACTTCAATGTATTTCGGTTCAAAAATTTCATAATTCTGAAAATAATTTTGAATGTAAACTACAAATTAGAAAACTGCTAACAAAATAAGAACTGGTTATAAAATTTGAAGGGAAAAACATTAACCAGGATGAAGAAATATATCTTGTATCAATAAAAGAAATTGTTTGTCAACAGATATGATAATTGTGGGTGTGTCTCATTTACAACATAGGTTTAAAGTCTATGAAGCAATCCAAAAGAAGTGGTAAATCTTGAATTATACAGCAATAGAAATTAACTCTCCTTTCAATGCAAACAAGGAAAAATAATGACTTACTTGATTAACAGTTACTAAACTTGCTGCATGATGAAACAGACATAAATGAAATGTATATACATGTATATGGGAGAAACATTTACAAATAGTATAAGTAGATGATCATAAAGGCCCAGGAGACCATGAGTGGTGGCATGTGCCTTTAATCCCAGCACTAGGAAGTAGGGGCAGGCAGATCTCTGTGAGTTTGAGACTAGCCTATACTATGTAGTCAGTTCCAGGACAGATATGTACAGAGACCCTTTCTCAAAAGAAAAAAAGAAAAACAAAAGCCCAGCAAATCACCGGCACATGTTTGTCTAGTTCCAATGCAATAAAATCAACCTGCTATCCTAAATAACTCTTGTATTAAAATTTTAATTAAGTTATGAACATATTAGAAATAGATGAGTATACAGATCAGGGGCATCTGAATAAAACTAGAAAAACCACTGCCTGTTGTGCAATACTGGTATCTCAAGATCATATCTCTTCATTGACAAGCTAGAAATCCTCAAACTCACTGGACACTGCAGTAAGGATGTTTTGTTTTGAATTTTTCACTAGTTCTACAAGAATTTTGTACAATATGTTTTGATCATATTCACCTCTTCCCCGCAGCTCCTCTCAGATCCATTTCCCCTTCTCTACACACCTGTACTGGCTGCTTTTGTGTCAACTTGGCACAAACTAGAGTCATCAAAGAGAAAGGAGACTTGGTTGATGAAATACCTCCATGAGATCCAGCCGTAAGGCATTTTTTCAATTAGTGATCAATGGGGGCATGCCCAGCCCATTGTGGGTGGTGTTATCCCCAGCCTGGTGGTACTGGGTTCTATAAGAAAGAAGGCTGAGCAAGCCAGGGTAAGTAAACCAGTAAGCAGCTCTCCTCTATGGCCACTGCATCAGCTCCTGCCTCCAGGATCCTGCCCTGTTTGAGTTCTTGTCCTGACTTCCTTCAATAATGAACAGAAATGTGGAAGTGTAAGCCAAATAAACCCTTTTCTCCCCAACTTTCTTTTTGGTCATAGTGTTTCATCACAGCAATAGAAACCCAAACTAAGACACCACTCAACTTTGTATCATTTAAACACTGTTCAAGTCCAATTTGTGCTACCCATATATTGTTGGATGCATGGCCTTCCATTGAAGCATGAGCCATGGATGACGACAAGGAAGCAGTGTCTTCTAGACACAGCAAGGCGGTTGCACATATGAACTTACAGTGGTTGTGACGGCATATGTAAGACTAAATTCCAACATAAAGAGAGAGCATGATGTCCCAACCCTAGCTGAGGAGCTATTGGTAATTGTTAGCTCCTGAAAGAGGAAGAGTCCATTTTCTTTAAGAATATAGCCCCTGGTAAGTTGATTGTATGCCAGTGGAAGGCCACACATAAAAAGATGAGCTTTCTGGTGGCACAAGATCTACAAAATTTGATGGTATGGTGGCACACACATTTAATCCCAGCACTTGTTAGGCAGAGGCAGGAAGATCTCTGAGTTCAAGGACAGCCTGGTCTGGAAAGTGAGTTCCAGGACACCCAGGGATACATAGAGAAATCCTGTCTCGGAAAAAAAAAAATAAATCTACACAGTTAATCAGATAGCTGGCAAGTTTATCATAGAAGGCCTCAAAGGGTAATAGAATCAAGAATGCTACTGCCACAGTTTGGCATGGCATTGTTCTGTACCATGTTGCACTCCACTTTTATGGACTCCCCCTGTGTATCACTAGAATGGCCAAACAGTTACACCACCAGTATGTGGGTGAAAACACTTGATGAAGATTGACTTCAAGGTATCTGAGTTATCCATCTACGTAGGAAAGGTCAGCCACCTACTTGGTTTCCACTACACAGATTCTGTACCCTGTGATGCCACACCAACTCCAGTGTCGTCTGTGTGACATGAATAATTATGTCAATAATAGCAGACGGGAGATACGTGTCCCACTGGACTAAGCTCCCTGGAGGTCCCTGGCACAGTGCCCGCGTTATGCTTCCTTCTCAAAGAAGACATGCTTCACGGATCATGAGCTCCCTGGACTATGGGTTCTATGTAACTGCTTTTCTGATAATGTTCTAATTAATCTATGAAGCACAGCCAAAATTAATGAATGCTTGGGTTGTGAACTATGGAGGAGAGGGGAAGCTGGACATGGATCTTAATCAGATATAGAAGAATGAGCTATTTCTTAAAGACCCCAAGCCGCTAGATAAAGAAAGTATAATAGTTCAGGCACTTCTAGGGAATGAACACTCACCCACTAGGAATCCTTTAGGAATCCCAACTAAAGTGATTTATGGTAGAAAACGTTATCTCATAGGAAGCAGATGGTGAGCCACTCCGTTGAGGAAGTTCAGCATGGGAAACTTAAGGACTACAGCAGAACCCCTTCCCCTTACAGGCATAAAAGTACAAGAGTCCATATCCTAGCAGGTAAAAAGGTTTTATATTAAAGAGATATGTGGTGGAGAACTGAAAAAAGACATAGAGAGGGTCTGCAGCATCCAAATTGGCTAAATGGGTCATGAGAACCAGAAAAATAGAAGTGCATAATAAACTAGAAAGCTGCTGAGATAAGATAAAGGACACAGCTGCAACTGCAAGAAGTTTACACAAGTCTAGGGACTGTATTAAGTTTAGAAATCACAGACTGCTCTTTGGGTCATAAAGTTCTTGTGGGTGAAGGGATATGTCTAGCGCCGATTAATAACTGTGTGATTGCTGTTTTTTAAAGATGATGTAATTGAATTATTGCCAAGCTCTTGTTGTTCCTTGTATGACTTGATAGTTTTCTTTTCTGTATATAAACTACTGATTTGCAGAAGTAAAATTGCAGCAGATTCAAACCACTTCTGAGTGTGTTGTCTGTCTGTCATTCGCTGAAACCTTGCCTTCCTGACTACCCAAGCCCTGGTTCTCCTATGGTTGTGGTACCCCCAATGGGCCAGTCCGTGGCACTGTAAGACCTGTGAACAAGAGAACAACATGCCACCCAGACTATAATTGGAATTGTTCTTTGTGTGGGTTACTGATTTTGAGGACTCAGAGAAGAAAGAAAATATCCCTAAGAACCCTAATGGCAGGTAGGTGAGCTGCTAAGGCAGAGATGTTAGACTAAGGGCTGGCCCCAACACACTCAGCCACAGTTACTCTAGCATTCAGTTATTTGTTGAAGATGTCGTTTCAAGTCCCTCCCTATAGGAATATCAAGATTACACACTTGGGTTATGCAACTAAAGAATTAGACTAGATTCAAGGGATCTTATACTCCTTCCCATTCAAGGACTCAGGGAGGTGGTTGTCCTATTAAATTTAACTAGGAGATGGATTCTGGGCCTTAGTACTGCCTAAGAAGGCCACCCAGAGAGGAAGTTGGTGCCCAGCCTCCTTCAGAGACCAGACAGTTGCCACAATGTGGATAGGGACAATAGCATCCACACTGCTGTGTTTGGGGCCATCTACAGAACTACCCCCATGAGGATTTGGACCATAGTCCACTCTGCCTTGTTAGTAGGAATTTCTATGACTTGAAAGGTGGTTATGAGGACTCATAAGTTCCTGTGTAAACTCATAAATTCTGTGTAAACAGAAAACACTAGCTGACACCAAAGATTCCAACCAACCACTAGTGGAATATCAGAGTGAGCACCCAAAGTGACAGGTGGCATGCACCATGATGACTTAGTCCAGAGTCCACAAAGCTATTTCTCAGGGAGTTCTGGACTAGTGCTAGTCCTGGCTAACTGTCCATGGTGGGAAATATTATCAGTTTCATCACATAGAGCAATATTGACTCCCATTTAAATCACACTTATATATAGCACACAGCAGTCAGCATTATGACCAGCTCATGATTATGCTGATTGGTGCAATCAAATTAAAAACCCTAAGCTAAAAATAAGTTAAATTGAAAACAGAATAAGGATAATAAGAGGTTGAAAAGGAGGTGGATTTGATAAATGCATGCTATGTGCATGAATATAAATAATAAATGAACTCTGTTACCATGTACAATTAATACATGGTAGTAAAATGTTTTCAGCAGGGGCCAGCAAGATGGCTCACTGGGTAAAAGCTCAGTACACAAGCCTTACAATTTGATCCCTGGAACTCAAATGGTAGAAGCAAAGAACAGACTCCTGCAAGTTATTCTCTAACCTCCACAAGTGTGTACCCTAGCATGCATGCACCTATACACAATTAATTAATTAATTTTAAAATGAATCCAATTGCATATCAAATTGTCCAGAAATATGCAGAGCACCTGCAGCAGCCCCCCTACTGCATCTCTAGTGGATGCTACATATCTTCCCTTCATAGCCTTCCCCCCACTCTTTTATTTACCCCCTCAACTCCAGCAGGCACTCCCCACAAACAGGCTACTCCAGCCAGGGAAACAGGTAAGCTAACTACAAACACATCTCTCCTTCTGCTCCTCAAAATAAAATCTCCCAGTCCCATTCCCAGCTCTGCAACAGAACATCTGTTTTAGCCTCAGTTCCCTTCCTGCACCAATCTTCAACTGATCCCACAGATCTTCCACTCCTTATCTCCCTCCCCCAGTACTTGCTTTATTCCAGCCCCCAACTCCAGCAGGCATTTCCTGGGTACCCACAGGGAAGCAAGTAGGATAACTAGAGATCCTCATCTCTCTTTTTGCTCCTCCAAATCCAATCCCAGCTTTCTAAGAGATCTATTTGCCTTCTCCTCTCCCTACCCCCATTCTTAGGGGACTATCTAAGCAGATCCCTGTGGCTGCATTCCTGCTGAGCTCCTGGCCTGGTTCCAGAGAGTAGCACCTAGCCCTAATCGTTCTATTGTTTAACCACACCTTTTGTTTCTCTTACCTTTTGTTTCTCTTATTGCCCTATGTGAATCTTGTCTGAGAGTCAAGGATCAGAGAGTCTCCCAAGGATCAAAGGCCTATGCAAAACTTGGTTCAGGAAACCTGGAAAACTGTGGTGCCTGAGAAATCAAGTAATTTGCACTTGGCATTTTGTCACTGGGAGCTCCTTTCAGGTTGCTTTGAAGGTACAGAAGTTAACTGGCTAAACTGTAATTAGAGAGAAATAAAAATGCCCTAGGTGAAGGGAAGATGCTTCAGTTCTTTGAGGCTGGACCCCCCTGCAGCCATGAAAGGCTATATTCATTCTTAAGATGCCTCTGAGTCTTCTTTACATGGACCTACGTGAACCCACACACTCCTGTCATGACAAACAGTGACAGATCCCCATGGAACATCCAGCTTTCTTCCTCTTTGCAAAGCTCCACCACCATCCCCAACACATCCTAATACTTAAGTCTCAGGCCCCAATACCCAGAAAAACATTTTTTTTCTGGAATCTCCCATGCCCACAAAGGCACCCAAAGATTTCCTACAGGCAACACACAGCCACCACACTCTCTTTTAAACAGATTGTTCTCTACCAACTGCCAATTCCTGAATAACCACTCAGAGGCTTTATATTACTTACAAATGCTCAGCCGCTACCTCAGGCTTATTACTAACTAGCTCTTACACTTAACCCATAATTCTTATCTATGTTTAGGTGCATGGCTTGGTACCTTTTTTCAGTACGACATTCTCATCTTGCTTCCTCTGTATCTGACTGGCGACTCTCCAGACTCTGACCTTCCTCTTCCCAGAATTCCTAGTTTGATTGCCCTACCTATACTTGCTGCCTGGCTACTGGCCAATCAGCATTTTATTAAACCAATTCGAGTGACAAATCTTTACAGTCCACAGCATTTCCCCCCCTTTTGTCTAATTAAAAAGGAAAGTTTAAACTTTAACATAGTAAAACTATATACATCAAAAATAGTTATTAAGTAAGAATTACAGTAACACTATACTATCTAACCATTTGCATTTGGAAAAAAATAGAGAATATACTTATTATCTATCTTGGTGAGTCTAAAGTTTTGTATTTAATTTACTTTCTTTTATAATTAAGGAAAACTATAATTATAACTATTTAGTCTTCAACTCCATCAAAGACCACAGAAGGGTGAAATGTTACCTAATGACAGGGACCTCAAGCTGCCTGGACAATCACCCAAAATTCTTCTGTAGTGTTGGAGCATCCATCTTCAGCCTACAGACTTAGAGTATCTGGCAGACTTTTCAGTGAAGCAGGAAATTTGAAGGCCTGTCCTGCCTTGTATTGGCAAAGGTCATTGCGTGCTTTCCTCTGTGTTCTGCAGAATGTCTGGCAACTTCTTCTGTGAAGCAGGAACCTGAAGGACCATCATGCCTTGTTTTGGTAAAGTTTAGCAGTCACTTTCCTGTGGGTTCTACATGTCCAGTTTATACAGCATACTGCCAAGCAATCCAGGCAAGGGCAATTTCTTGCCCAAATGACTAACCTTACCACATTGAAAGCAAACTCCAATGCTCATCATCCTCTTTGAAGTAATTGGTGACATGTCTCACTGTTGAGAAAAGTCTAAGTTCTTAAAACATTTTAAATGCCATATTCTGTAGGTCCTTGAAGTGTTTTAAGATTACCTACCTATCCGAAATATATCTCTGTATGATCTTGAAAACATATCTAACATGACTATAAGTTTGCTATTATAGATGACTATTAATCTGTATTTCTTAATTATATATTACAATTTTAAATGAGTTACATAAACATAATATATTAAACAAGAGTAGAAATATATATTCAGTATAACAAAACTAACTTTAAATTTGTATCAATAAAACAATATCAATACAAATGTAAAATATGTAAGATTAATAGCTGCTTTCTGGATTAAAGTAATCTACCCATTTTTCCCATCATTATAATCTACCCTTTTTCCTATCCTTTCTATATAATATCCCCTTTTCTTCTTTTAGAAAGATATTGACTATGACTAATAATTTGTAACTAACCCCCCTTAAATGAAAACGAACATTTATAACCAATATTTTGGGTATGTGGGCATAGTTCTCTAGACTACATCTTGTTGATTGTTGGCACTGGTAATCTTTGGGGGACCCTGAGAAAATTTAGGATTATGGTCAAGTCCTGACTAGAATATTCTGTGAGGCTGGCTCATGTCAGCCAGCAGCCCTGAAGCCATTCTGGATGCAATCTCACAGGAAACTGCAACAGAGGCACTCTGAAACACTGGGTTATCTGGGCCATCTGTTCCCATTGGAGATTTTTCAGGGGGTCTTTCTTGAGCAAACCTGATTTTTCTTAACCCAGAATGAATCCACGGTCTCTCATTTCTTGTGGAAATAAAAACACAGTTTCTCCCCCAAAGTGGCATATATTTTGACTTAAATTCTGGATTCAAGATATATTTTAAATATATAGGTTGGTTTAGCATAGCAGTCCCCAAAATCAAATGTCTCTCAGCAGTTATCATCATTAGCCATCAAAAAATTTAAAGACAACACAATAACATACAGTATCTAGACTCTCCATGTATTTTCCATCCTTCTGTGGCTCATTATACTTTTACTACTCTATTTTTTAAGGAACTTTACTATTTCTCTCAAGCCCACACACATTTTTTTAAACATACTGTGACCCATTTAGAGGCCTTTTTGTCTAATCTGTTTGTACTATGTATTTCTAACCTTTTCTGTCTGCATGAGCAAAAGCTCTAAATCTGCCACGCAGTGCATGGCTGATTAGCCTTTCTGTACTGTGGCCCATGTGAGAGACTGTGGAAACCTGCCAAGACACTTAGCTCATGACAGCTGGCAGCAGCTCCATCTCACAGGCAGCTTGTCTCTGTACTGCTGCTGGAATGAGACTGTGAGACTAGGAATCCCAGTGCAGCTCCATTTCTGTGTGTTTAGAACCATTTTTAAGCTTTCTCAGGTCTTATGTGGAAATTCCTGCCC